TTTTTCTCCTCACCCAAAGGAGTTTTTCCGACTGCTTTTCAGAGAGTGGAAGGGGGTGGGGGGAAATAGAGAGAGAAACGTCAGTGTGAGAGAGACACATCAATTGGTTGCCTCCCACACACACCCCGACTGGAGTCAGGTATCGAGCCTGCAACTGAGGTACATGCCCCTGTCTGGAATCAAACCCTGGACCCTTCAGTCTGCAGGCCGATGGCGCTAACTATTGAGTCAAACCTGCCAGGGCATGAGGTTTTCTTTATGTTAAAAATCCTCAGAGCTCTGATGAAAAGCCTTGTGCTTGGAGTCAGAAACTTGCATTTGGTCTTGACCCAGTGACTCCAAGGCCTTATGGCCTTGGGAAGATCTTGTAACTCCTCAAAGCCTCAGTGGCACCTTTCTAAAATGTCATCACTGGTGGGGCTGCTTTGAGTGCTGACTGCAGTCATAGACATGAAAGCCCGTTGTGAGCCAGCTCTGTCCAGTCATAGACTGGTGACCAGGGGGTGGAATCCAGCATGTACACAAGCTTGCTGGCCACATAATACACATAATAAAGGAAACATTTGGAGTGAATGACTGAATGACCCATATTTAAAAATTGATAGATCACAGAAAAACCCAGATTTTTGGTTCCTCTTAAAAAGTTATATCTTGCCATGTGGGACCCCTGTTCCCTGACCTGGCCAACTGACCACAGCTGGGAAGCAGCTGCCCCGCTTGGGGTAGTGGTGGTGTGTGTGGGGGAGTGGGGGTTGTGTACTTTCTCCGGTTCCCCTGGGCACCTCCAGACCCACTCAGCCCATTTTTGTTATCTACCTGGCCCCTTAGGCATTCATGGGAATGCCCCCTGGTCTCAACAGGTCTTCTGGTTCTGCTATCAACTCTTGTGCTCTTGCTGGGGCTTGCTAAATAGCTCCACTTTGGGACTTCTTACTACAGTTGACCCTTGAACAACCCAGGTTTTGAACTTCCAGGGTACACTTTTCCACGGATTTTTTCAATAAATATACAGTTGGTCCTCTGCCCAAGTTTTGCATCTGCAGATTCAGCCAAGTGTGCATTGAAGACTATTTTGATCCACTGTTGGAAATGCAAGGATGCAGAGAGCCAGCTGTCTGTGTTGTTATGTAAGGGACTTGAGCATCAATGGATTTTTGTATCCTTGGGGGTCCTGGAACCAATACCCCGTGGATACTGAGGGATTACTTTTGGGAAGTCAGAGTTATATGCAGATTTAACTCTGTGCTTCGCTAAAGCCCTTTGTCAATATTCAGTTCTAGGAATCCTCCCCCAAGCCCTACAAGCCCTACAAGGTGGGAACTGTTGAACCTTTCCCACTTAAGGAAACCTAGAGCTGGAGAAGCCATGCAGCTCGTGCGAGGTTGTACAGCCAGTAAGCAGCAGAGCTGGGATTTGAACCCAGGTCTGCGCTACTCCAGAGCCTGTCCTGCAGGATCTGAGGAATGTTTGCAGTGGGCCTCATTTACTCAGTGTCTTTGCGCCTTAGCACCCAGCATCCCTCCCGTGATGCAGCATCTGTAACTGCTGGTAGGCTTTGCGGGTTCTGGGGATGTGCAGCCTGAATAGTCAGGGCTGAGTGCTGCATGAGCTCAGAGGCCCAGATGGACCACATGTGAGCCACGTCTGCTATGAGTAGGTTTAGCTTGAAGACAACT